TTAGGCTTCGCTGGACCTAAATTAACTGCTGGAACGGGATTAATCGTGGTCAAGGAAGGCGAAATAGGGCAGTTATTTTAAACGGTAGGATAGTTTCAATCGTCTGTGTGCAGTTTATCGTCGATACTAGAGGGCCCAATGGGTTTTCATTCGCCAGCCTAGCTTCGTACATTTATCTGGATTTCGACCGAGTTATAGTTAACGTTCAGGATAAATTAAGCAAAGCCTGACACAGGTGATCGTGAGGCGTTGTTAAGTGGGCCTGGGATTATGGCACTAATTTATGCGTCGTGCATTTCCCTGGAATTAACGTTCTTTTCGGATGAAAATCGACGATAAATAAGTTATAACAGCCCGCGACAGAGATGGTTTTATGACCGAGCTGCAAAATGCTGTCGATGACAGGAACATCTGTCGCTCTTAAGGCAGACGCGTGACTCGGACCTGCGTGTCGCACTGGCGGTCCGGGCTAAAACGAGAACCTCGTAGGATACGAAGTTTTGAAGGCGGTGAGACCCGAGTTTAGGAGTGATGATGAATGCAGCAAGGACTTAACGTTGGTAAACATCTACCAGGCTACACGGCGCGACAACCCAGAACGCTAAGATTATTGAAGGCAAAGTGTGTGTTTCTTTGAATCATTTCCCACATAACAATAATTCCTGTCGTTGCTAAGATTATTGAAAGCAAAGGTTGTGTCTGACTCCTTTCCCACATAACAATAATTCCTGTCGTGCTATGAACACAGTATTTAACGCAAATGAAGGAGCGTTTCATAAAATTTTCACAAATAATTAATGTGAATGCATAGCTTATTTATGCGACATAAAACAAATTACATTTTTCAGTGTTTTATTCCTTTTCTGTTTGATGCGGCAGACAAGGATGTTAAATCATATCCTTAAGATACGTGGCCAAAGTGGTTCATAAATTCGCAAAGAGACGGAGACTAAGTGTAATCCACCATCGTCAGAACCCTTTAGAATTTAATTTTTAAAGAGTTATTTTTAACGGAAGTTTATAATAGGTGTATAATTCCGATAGTGTCATCGAAATCAGTGACTGATTATTACGACTTAATTAGATCTAATTGTAACATTCCTAGTATGTTAACGAAAAGTGAGTCTCCCTTGGCTTTTCATTACAATGTTGTCACATTTTTTCTTCTTCAGAATAGCTGTGTTCCATTTACGACACCTTTCCTACAGCTGTCTACAGACGATTGTCGAAACTGTTTAATATTGGCATCGGCTCGTAAAAGCCGTGGTCTCAGTCACCGCGTGCATGCTTTCCTTGAACCATTTTCTTTGTTTTAGTGAAGCTGTTATTAATATCTCCTTTCCGACTTGACTCCTGATTCAAAAGTCTTGCGTCTTCGTGTCTCATTTGTTTAGCAAGCCGGGAAGTCCTTCATATAAGAATTGTTGGATGGGACCATGACCTCGGCTTGCTGAGACACGTAGTAAAATGACAATAATAATTGTTTTAAAGGATATCGATCGATCGATCGATTTTACATTTGACACCCGGCAAGTATGTAACTGAATTCAACTGACTCAGGACGTCCTCAGAATCCCAGTAGAATGACAATGACAGGTAAATGACTAGAATATCTTTTAACTGTCAGCGGCTTTGTGGGCCAACCGTGTCATAGATCTGTGCGAGGGGCTATGTCTCTGGGTTTAATAAGGGCCGGAACGACTCGATTCAGTCTGAATCAGAGTTACGAATGTGTGGAGCTGTAACTCCATGCCCCACGGTTCTTACGTTTAAACTTATTCACTGCATTTCAAACGGACAATAAAATTCCAGCATATGCGACTTTATGATTAAACAAGTATAGTGTTCCTGCGTTAGATACGGAGGCCAAACGTTGTTGTTAAGTTCCCATGTCAGGTGTCCCTGGTTTGGCTCCGGACTTCGAAATATGCATGACCGTAGTTCGGACAGACCTAATAGCGATAATTCTCATTATAAAGGATCAACAGTTGAGACTATAAAGGCGAAATGCCTGATGCTTGGTTTCTTAAAGTGTATGGAAGTATGCTCGTATTTTATCTCCGAAAACAGTTGCCGGATCTGGTTCAAACTAGGTATTTATTCAAGATCTGTCGTAGAAGCCGGGAAGTTGTTAAGAGAATTTGATTCGGTTTATATCAGTCAAATAATCGCGTATTTATGAACTTCATGTCGAATGCGTACATCTAAGAGCTTGAAACTAAAGGAATCGATTGTGCAAAAGTAAAATTGATAAACGATTAGTGTCAGAATAACCGTTGTGAGGTAAATAATTACAAATGTGTTTTTTTATTATTAAGTTAATTAGACCGGAAGTAAACAAGGATCCAGTAAAGTTAACAAACGAGCAAGCCCGTACTCCTATAAAGTATGTATTTACCAAATGGGCCTCACCCATTTTACATACGCCCACCTAATGAGTATCGACGTTCCATTCAGTCCGGACAGAAATCGATTATTGTGACACTAATTATACCGGAGGGAACCTGTTACATCTCACAAAACCAGAAATTTTCATCGTGTCTCGTCATGTCGAAAGGAAAAGGTTCAAACAAACAAAAATTGTAGACGTTAACGACATCTATAGTTTATGTCACGTCGACATAATTCGATTTGAGTCGAACACATCGACTATTTTAATAACAAGTGAACCTGGGAATCGTGGGATTAAGAATTGAGCGCAAATTTTAATTCATATCGTAAATTAAAATTTCAATGTATTTGGATCAAGGCAAAGCCTGTAGTGTAATATCCACGTGTGTTATGTTGATCTTGGGTTTGTCGTGTTCGTCACATTTCGCAAACTTCGTTCAATACCGATTCACTAGAGCAACACGTTTTGGTTCAATGTGGCCATCATAGTATTTGATGTTCCCGATGCCAACAAATGATTAAAAGAAATAATTATAAAAATGATATGTTAAAACGTTTTAAAGTTGCCCGTTGGACGTTTTGATGTTTATGGCTCAGTGGTTCGGCAGTCACTCGTAGTAAACTGTTTCAACACCCATGTCACTAGTGTCGAGGTGCCGCGCATGCGCAAACATGGCGTATCTTTTTAGGGTGTTTTCTCGAACATTACTACTTCGCATTGAAATCTTTTGTTACTGTTAGCGAAGACTTTGAGCATTTCATTCAGATAACACAGCAATACACCGAGTAGTAAGGAGGTTTGTGGACAGAAACAGATTTTAAAAAAAAAATTCGTTTCTTTTGTTATGTTGACGTCAATGTTTACAAATACTGTTAGGTTGCGTTTTAAACGGCACACCCTGTATCATGGCGATCAAAATGTGGACAAATAGTTGCGCTAACGAAGCAAACAGTCGTGGTACTGCATTAGTAAATTACCAGCTGACTTCCTTGTTTGAAAGCAGGTTGGCATCTAGTGGCTTGTGGAAGGCACCACATTCCGCCACTGCCCACCCTTACAAATAGCATCTCACAGTTTCGGTTTATTTTTTACTTACTTCTTGCTTTCCTTTCTTTCTCTTTTCAGTCTTTTTCCCCCTCTGGTGCCGTTGAGCGTCGCAGACAGACTCTAATAAAACTAAGAATAGCCTACAACTGAACTATAAAGTCTTATGTATCTTTTTAACAGACTTGGCTGGCGACATTGGGTGTTTCCCCCCCCCATTCTCTTCCAGTCGCTTCTTCTCAGACAACTAAAACGATAATATTCTTACAATGGTCGCATGATTTATGGGATAAATCCCGTAGTATTATAGTTCCTAACGAGATATGCAGTCTCCTAATTTATTGACCCGCGGTTGAAGTTGGTGGGGGGG